GTGTCAAAGGGATCTCATGAGGAGAATCTGTCATAATATCATGAGTCTGACAAGCATCTCTAACTACCTGATTGGGGGTAGATTAAGCATTGGGAATCATAGGTGCAACCTCCATATCCATATTAGGTTCCGGGACGGGAGGGTCAAAGTATGCCTGTCGATCCATTGGTGGAAAAACCCACGAGGGATGGGATCAACTAACACCCGACGCGCAACCACGTCCAAACATTGTAGCTGTCTCTTCATAGCCGATCTCACATAGTTATCCCACTGATCCACATACTCAATTGGGATCATTCGCCTGAGGATGTTGGGAGGAGAACCTAGGTGCAGTACACCCTCAACTACAATACCATCATCATCATTTCCAATGCAATGTAGCTCCTCCCAAGCCCTTGCAACCATCTCACTAAATGAAGGCCTATCATTAAATAGCACAAGCACGCTTTGCATGTCAACAAACTCAACATATCTATAACGATCGTATTCAACAGTGCTTCCATGATATATGATCACTAGGTTGTCCATCTAGTTCAAAGACATAACGAAACACATGTCCTTTAGTTCAAATTAGACGATAGATAGTACCTAACAAGTACTTTCTAACTACAAACTAAGTAAATAAGATAATAACTACGTATATATATATATATATAGTGTACTCATAAAATAGCTATGTCTATGTACCTATGTATCTATGTTTCTATCTATCTCACTAAATCACTAACTAAATCAACTATATGAGTCATCACATTAACTAGTAAATAACAAATAATCGAACTACTACATTACAATCAAAGCTAACTAAGTACGTACATTGCATATTCACAATTTTTACCTAGCGCGACTGGGCGCTGCAGGGCCCAGGGACGACGCTGGCGCGGCCGGGGACGGCCGGCGCTGGCCCAGTGGCACGGCAGCAAGGGCGCGGGGGCGCGGGCGGGGACGTCCGGGGCAACGCGCGGCAGTGCGGCAGCGATGACGGCTCGGTAGAGAGAAAGAGAGAAAGGAAGGGAGGGCACATACGTAAGAGTGGACTTGGCGCCAGGATTGTTGGTGCCGAGCTGGCTGCCATGTCAGCGTCCACGCCGCCAACGTGGCCCCGACCTCGGCTCCAGCAACGATGGCGCCGAGAAGTGTAAGCTCGGCACCAGCAACGATGGCTTCGAGTTAAGAGTCCAGATTTTGAAATCATACCTTCAGGAACATATTTGTAAAATTTTTTAAAAAAGAAGGCTAAAAAAATAAAAAAAATCGGTTGGAACAACATGGTGTCTCTTTCGGCGTGCTCAGCGTTACCCTTTCATTGCAAATACTAGTCTGAAAAGACAGCAAAACGGACCAAATGTCACAGCTACATATATAGTATCAACAATAGATCCTGCTTGTTGGAATCAAAGTTTTGAACTAAGCGCGCGTTTAGTTCTTAAAAGTTGGATTTTGGGTTACGGTAGCACGTTCGTTTTTATTTGGCAAATAGTGTTCAATCATGGACTAATTAGGCTCAAAACGTTCGTCTCGCAATTTCCCACCAAACTGTGCAATTAGTTTTTTTTCATCTACATTTAATGCTCCATGCATGGGCCGCAAACATTCGATGTGACAGGTACTGTAGCAACTTTTTAGAATTTAAGGTCCAACTAAACAAGGGTTAAACAATGGGCCGGCTGGCTCTGATTTGATGTAGCTAGCTAGCTAGCTAGCTGCTATAGGGTCTTGCATTGGCAGTTTATTTCTTCTTTCTTTCAGATGAAATAATGTACTAGACAGACATATATTGTTTCCTCGCTCCTCCTTAGGTATGAACATGGAGGTCTGCGGCCGTGAGGTACTCATCAGCCGGTCAAGTTTTGGCTGCCTTGTCGATGCCTCCTATGCCTCCTAGCATGCATGTCTCCTCTACTTTTCCTCTTTGCTCCTTAACTAGGAGCAAAGTTGATTTGAAGAAGCGATGCAAAGCAGACGATTGAATGAATCAAACAACCATCTTTCAGTCTTCACATCCTAAACAGTGTTTTCAGCTGGTTTTTTCAACCTAAACAGTGGGCCTATACACGTTATATATAGGCCCACGTTCACACGGCCAAAATCTTCTTCCGTCGCTCCGCGTAGCAGAAGCTGTATCAGATTCAGAGTAACGTCACTGTCGACTCCACTGTAGTCTGTGCGACTGTGCTCGCTTATCTGAAGAGGCCCGTGCAAGTTGTCAAGGAGATGAGGATGCCCGGGGGCACTTGGAGCTGCCACTGCCATTACGAGCTTGCAACTAGTTGCTGTGGTCCATGCCGGCCGACTTGTGCAGCTATGACAGATGTTGCAACTAGGTGGTGTGTGCGGCTGCCCTCTTCGAGTCATGCAGTCACTTCATCCCAGCCACGTCGCGAGGCTGATAGCTCCCTTTCGCGTCGTGGGGCCGATGTCTTCCTTCCGCGTCGTGCAGCCGCCATCGCCTCCGAGCGTCGCTGGGCTCCTGTCTCTCGTAAACTCCCAAGGCCGACGAGACTCCATTCTTCTAAACAGCAGTAAGGAGATGTTATGTGCGCTAAAAACGTATGTTGCAAGCGTATATTTCAATTTGTTTTGTATGTTTCACAAATATATTGCAATTGCTTCATACACATGTTATATGTTGCAAGTATTTTAGATGAATGTTGCAAGTGTATTGTTCCAAATGTTTCGGCTATTTCAGACGTATATTGCACATATTTTATTTGTGTGTTGCATATGCTTCACGCATATGTTGCAAGTGTCTCAACCGGATGTTGCATATGTTTCACACATATGTTGCAAGTGTTTCATCTAGATGTTGCATATGTTTTGCAATGGCTACACATGTGTTTTCCTGGTGTTTCAGACATAAGTTGCAAGTGTTTCATCTAGATGTTGCAAAAGTAGACCTAATGTTGCACATGTTGCATTGGGACCTATCTGTTGTTGGGCCTGCATATGTGCGTGGGTGTGGAGGGGGCACCACGGTGCGGGCGCGTGACAGGAGCGGCGCGGGCCACAGTGCGGGTGCAGGACAGGAGCATGCATGTGGACACAGTGCGGGTGCGGGTGCGGGCGCAGGACACGGAGCAACGTAGACCCCACGTGAAGCAGACACAGCAAGCGTGGGCGTCGGGATGCGACTGCCCCTTTTTTAAATGCACTTCCTGTATCTCAAGGTGTCAAATTTTTTTGTTGTTGTTCGAGCAACACACATATAATTTTGTTTTTGTTTGACTATATAGAAAAAAATAAGAATCATTTTTTGTGAGTTGTCCTTTTAATTATACCACTAGTTGATTTTGCAATTTTTTTGCTTAAATTTTAAAAATTTCAGACATCTAAAATAAAGCAACTCTTTTCTCAATAACTAGATATATGTCCGTGTTTGCACGGGGTAACGAATTTGTATCCATGTGTACAATGATGTACTTGTCTTATAGTTTAGACGAACATATTAACAATTTTTTATCCATGTCTACGCCGATGCACATGGCTTGTGTTTTCGACATATTAAAAAAATATACAAATTTAATTACATAAAAGCATATTTTATGATCTTTATGACCTATATATAGTAGATTTAGCTTATAGAAACCTTATAAAATTGGTTTTGTTTTATTATTATTATTTGTGTATTTTATTATTTTATTTTCAAGTTTTAATAAAAAACTAATAAATACTTTTGCATTTGGACCCATAAACTATTTCTAGATGTTCCAGGTTTTCTTTCTTCTACGTGGACGTGGTAGACTAATGGGCCACGTTGTTACATGCGGGCATCAAGCGAATCACCACGCAACGGACACGTCTGTTACGTGGGGCCAGGAGGTCCGTCCGTTCGTCCCACGGCATGGCGTTCCTTCGTTCCTGCTCTCGCAGGAGGGCGAGCGGGGGAGGTGGGCACACGCGCACGAGTATGCGCTGACAGACGAGCGGGGCGAGCGTTTTGCAGGTGCCCGCCACCGCCGGCACAGGCGAGCGGGGCACAGAGGCGTGGGCGAAGCGGAGCACACGACGAGGACATCGCAGAGTGTGGCGAGCGCCGCGGCCGCAGCCAACACATACTGACATCGCGTCGCCCACGTCCATGGCGAGACGCGTGCTCCCGCGTGCGCCGGTACTACGCACGGCAACAAGTCGCAGTTGCCCGCCGCCACCGACGCAGGCTGGAGCTAGGGCACGCGCGGGGGCGTGATTTGTTTGCGGGGAGGTGGGGCTCGACGCGGACCCATGCGGGCGGGGGGACGCGGGAGTGTGCATGGTTCACGTTCCGGACTCGCCATTAAGCTAGGGCGAAGCGAATAATACTTGGCATTCGGACAACGCGGACTCTCGGATAGGGACCCACGCGGGCGGGGTGACGTGGGAGCCACAGATTAAGCTGGACGAAGCGAATTATCTTGGCGTCCGACGATGACATTAGGTTTTTTAATGTAGAGATAGAAAATAATAATTAGATTAAATTTTAAATTGCAGAACATATTTTATATGAATAGTCTGCCACGTTTGTATTTTTATGTTAGCGTGGCAACGCTGTGCACGTACCGAACTCGTACTCGTGATTGGTTATCTTCCACACGTAGCCGGGCAGAGCAGGGGCGAGCCGGATTAAGCTGGCAAAAGCATCCGACGATAACATTATTAATTTTTCATAGGCCCAACCCAATGCTTAATCCAGCAGTAAATCTCAATAATCTCCCACATATAGAAAAAAGGAAATAGACCGATTTTGCATAAAGAAAAGGGCCTATAATGATTTCACAGGCCCAATGTCTAACCCAGCTTACTTCAGACGTCTTATGGAAATGGGCCGACTTGTGCATCTAAAAGAAAAGGAAAGAACCCATAAAGAAGGGACCCGTGCGGCCCAGGTCCGCCTCTCCCTATATATCGACTCGCCACACAGCTAGGGTTTTCTCTGCACGCAGCGCGCCACCTCTCCTGGATCCCCAACACCCCAGCCGTCGGCGCCGCCGTCGTTACCCGCTCCGTCCTACGCCGCCGCGACCATGGTGAGCGCTTCTCAACGAATCTACATCTGTTGGTTTATTACCAATGCGTCTGCTGCGCCCGCGTCTTCTTTACGCGATTTTCCACCCCTCTGCCGCAGATCATCTCTAAGAAGAACCGCCGCGAGATCTGCAAGTACCTCTTTCATGGTGAGCTCCTTCTCCCTTTTCGGTCCCCTGGGCGCGCCCAATATATTCGTGTATGCAGATTGCCACTCCCATTCGTGATTAGTTCATTAGATGCCTACTTAGCAGCAGTGCTGTTGCAGCCAGTAGAAGATAAACGAGTAAAACGGGAGCTCTTGATTGCAACCCAATTCCGAAATGTCTGTTTGCTATATTTGGGTTTCATGTAGAGGGCAATGAATTTTTTTTGTCTCATCTCCAGTGTTTTAAACCGAATGCAATGTAATGCAAATGCGAGTAAATAGTTCTGTGTTAGTTATCATCGTCTACCATTTCAGACATTATAAGCATTTGCAACATTCTGATTGTGTACGACCCCTACTTTATCCTTGTATTAGGTTGAGGGTATATGTAAAACTGTTGAACTTAATGGTGCAGAGGGTGTCCTTTATGCCAAGAAGGACTACAACCTGGCCAAGCACCCGAAGCTTGATGTGCCCAACTTGGAGGTGATTAAGCTCATGCAGAGCTTCAAGTCAAAGGAGTATGTGAGGGAGACCTTCTCCTGGCAGTACTACTACTGGTACCTCACAAACGATGGCATTGAGCACCTCCGCAGCTTCCTCAACCTGCCATCAGAGGTTGTGCCTAATACCCTCAAGAAGTCCTCCAAGCCACCGTCTCGTCCCTTCGGCTCTGGCCCACCGGGTGATCGCCCCAGGTAAATTTGTGGTCATCAACTCTCTTGTGTACATCTATCTGGAAATCTGTTGATATTTTTATGAGGGAATATCTGAGTCGTACCTATGGTTTGTGTACCCTTACCTGGCAGTTACATTATAGTTGTGTTGTTTCTAGTTCTGTATTCTGGCAACCAGATTGAACTAGTTATTGTTGACTTTTATTTTGAGTCTGTGAAATGGATAATCTTTGTGAATTGTTCCAGAGTCCTCACAATTTTATTTCATATGCACCTAATTTTGGAATTGCCATCTGTGCTACATTCTATTTGTACATTATATATCACATATTCCTGGATTGCCAATAGAATTTCCCTGTTAAGCCATTGTTACTTACATATTCTGTTTATTTGACAGGGGTCCCCCTCGTTTTGGGGATGACAGACCTAGGTTTGGGGATAGGGATGGTTACAGAGGAGCTCCTCGTGGTGCTCCAGGTGATTTTGGCGGTGAGAAGGGTGGTGCTCCTGCAGAGTTCCAGCCATCTTTTAGGGTAAGTTCTGGAAAACTGGTCTCGTCTATATGATTTTTGCACAGCTGTTTACATTGGTTTCTTAACTTACATTGTCCAGTTCATTTCAGGAGAACAAGTTTAATTTTGCACTACTAGTCAAACTTTGATACATTAGTTTGTAAATAGAATCCCCTTGAGCACCATGGTATTTCCATGCCATGTTCATGTCTTCGAGCTGGTTTGTAAACTTTAAACTGCCTTTAGAAGTTTTGGTAGTGTGGTTTGCTGTTCGTAAGCAAGTGCGATATTCTTTTTGACCTCTATTTGACGAGTCTGCAGTGTTTTTTTTACTTGGTGTATGCAGGGATTAATTTTATTGTGATGTAAATACAGCATTTTATTAACATTTGTGAACCGCAACTGATTCAGTGTTCTTGCTGCTAATGCAGGCAAATAGCTTGTAAACTGACAGCAGTGTTTTCTCTTTTTTTTCCAGGGTAGCAGACCTGGCTTTGGCCGTGGTGGCGGCGGCGCGTTTGGTGCTGGTGGATCTTCCATGGAGTGATCTATCAACTTGAACCAGGCAAATTGATTCGATGGACAGCTTTTCAAATGCAGTGCGCAAGGGGCGCGTGTCTGTTGATCTTTGAACTATGAGAACAATGAGATTTTGTTTTACCGAGCTGTTGCCGTGGCTTGATATGGTTTTGTGATCCTCGTTTTTGTTTAGATGAAATTATTGAAATCAAGCAGCAAGTTATCATTCGACTCGATGGTGCTATTGTCTCCTGTTCTGATATCTGATCTCCTGGATGTGCTCTGTACTGTCTCCTGTTTTGATATCTTTTCTCGCTGGACATGCCCTTGCACTCCCTAGCGCGACCTGAATGCCTGAAATATATTACGTTTATAAGGCAATGTTTCTAAAGTGCAACTTTGACTGGTACTTCCTCCTTTCCAAATTAAAGGACAATTATAAGATGTCTGGTACTTCCTCTTTTCTAAATTATATACGGGCTTGCTATTGCCCGAATGCCCGCGAAAGTTTGTTTCACGTGCCCACGCGGGGCTCGCCTTTCCTGATCATCACTACGGTGGGTGCCCAACCAGCGTTGGAATGAGGAGACACTGAGGCGAGGCAGCAGAAAGCGGAGGAGAAAGATACAACCCTCTGATCTATTTTTGAAACATTTGGATTAAATATTTACGAAGATAGATGAAACATTTTAAAACATGCATATGAACACACTTCCAAAAAACATGAAACACTTGAAAAGCCATTGCAAAGTATATGCAACATCCAGATAAAACACTTGCAACATTTTTGTGAAACATATGCAACATAAAATATATTTGCAACATACGTCTAAAAATACAGATAAAATATTTAGAACAGACGCTTGCAGCATGCATATGAAAACTCCTGAAGCACTTGAAACATACGCTTGCAATATGTCAGGCACGACACTCTAGTGGATAATACCAGGTATATAAGCAGTGATTTCAAATTCAGAGCGTACTCTGGGTGAAGAGCGAGTGATCCCTCGATAGGGAGCACGAGCGATGCAAGCTCTTTTTTTAGTCCTACCTATGTCTTATTCTTACGAGAAAGTCGGTGACCACCATGTCGGGCGAGCCTCGAGGCGGTCGCGAAGTACGGCACAACCACGACGTCCTTGTCGTCTCTAGCTGCAGGAAGAGGTGATGATGAGGACGCCAGCGCTAGGCGGCGGATGTGCGGGAGAGGGACCTTGTACTAGTACCCGACGCGGAAGGCATCCGATGATGTGAGCAAGACTACGGGCTTGAGGGAGCTTGGAGAGCGGCCACGTGGCAGCGGACGCCGTGGTCACGATGGTGAGGGCACGGAGAGCAGGACGAAGGCCGTGGCGGCAGCGAGGGCCACGGTGAGGAGGAGCGGGAGGCCGGGGGCGAATGAGGGCTGGGGTGCGGCCACGAAGGGAGGAGAGGAGAGCGGCAGTGGGTCACGCCGAGTCGCTGGCGGTCCGGACCTCGACTGAGTGGGGTGGAGACGCCATCGGCGGACGATGCTTCGACTGCAGGACATGGGGAGAGTGGGAGTGGACTGGACCTGGCACCGGAGAATGCAGCTCGTGGCTGGCAGCTTGCGGAGTGAGAGTTTTTTTAGGCTGTGTGGGAGTATCAGATATCTGTGGGGGGTAAAATACGTCGATGACGTGAAGCCATGTAGTGTCCCACGTCCGGACGCCCTAATCGTAGCATTACCGAATTATATAAGATGTTTTTTTTCTAGATACATTGTTTTAACTATGTATATCTAAACATAGTATGCATAGGAAAATCTATTCTATCAAAAAAAAAACAAAAACAAAGCGTTGTATAATTAAAAGGAGAATTTATTATTATTTTTAAACATAGCAAAAGAACACTTAATGATACTACATTTCAAAAAAAACGTATCATGTTCTAATATCCACATTTCATGAAAACAATATGCAACCAAAAGATTGACTCGACAATCATTGGAATGTCTTTTTTTTCTATTTCCTGCATTTTGTCTATAAAAACTGGATTAATTCTTGTAGAGTTTTCAATAAAATTTCTGTATCCAAAGGAGCCCTTGATCTTTGGCACCGCCGTTTGCCTGAGAAAAAAAACACGGTCAAAATCAAACAAAAAGGAAAAAACTAAAAAAAAACTGTCCGCTCGGCGCCTCTGGCCTCTTTAGGGCTTCTCCAACGCAACAACGTGTGCCCCAAAGGCCACGTCCACTTTGGTCCTCCATGTCACGGTGAATGATAGCTCCGCAGCGCATCAGTGTGTTTTGCATGAGATACATTAGCTTCATCTGACAAAAGTAGAAGGCAACAAGCAGGAACGCGTTGTGATACTGCCGACGGTGGCTTGCTCTGTAAAGTGTCAAGAAACTCTGAAGAAAGAACATAGGCGTTAGTGCACCGGGCCCTAGTATTGGAGCAAGTGGATTAGCCTTGGGCCTTGCTTAGATATCTTCAAATTCCAAGTTTTTTCACTCTCTCTCGGTTACATCAATTTTTAGCCATTTGCATGGAGCATTAAATGTAGGTAAAAAAAACTAATTACACAGTTTAGTTGAAAATCACGAGATGAATCTTTTGAGCTTAGTTGGTCTACGATTGGACAATATTTACCAAATAAGACGAAAGTGCTACTATTCATCGGGTTGAATTTTTTTTCAATCTAAACACGGCCTTGTAGTAGTTTGCATCGTGGGCTTGGAATCCTGGACCTTCTATACCTACGTGTATTCATGCTTTTTGTTCGAGCTAACACATTTATTAGCTTGCGTTGGGGGTGGCCTTACCATTGTGTGCTTGACTGCTTTGGCAGCTCGACCGACGCGCCGTGGCGGCCGCCGCGGGCGCTGATAAACCTCCAGTTAAACCCTAGCATCCACCCCGCGTCGCCGCACACAGCGCCCGTTAGCACGCGCCGTCCCAGGATCGAGGATCGAGCTACCCACCCCACCTGGAATGGAGGACGACCGGGAGGAGCCGCCGCCTGCGGGGAGCGCGGCCGCCAACGCCAGCTCCACCTCCGCCGCCGGCGGCGGCGGCGGGAGCAAGGGGTCCCCGTGCGAGGAGTGCGGGGAGCAGCCGTGGAAGTACCGGTGCCCCGGGTGCGGCCGCCTCACCTGCAGCCTCCCCTGCGTGCAGGCCCACAAGCGCCACACGACCTGCACGGGCAAGCGCCCCCGGACGGACCCCGTCCCGCTCGCTCGCTTCGACGACAACCAGCTCATCTCCGGTACGCCTCCGTCCCCCCTTTCTTCTGATCAGTAGTCGACGCTGGCCGCCTCTTGAATTGCTCCCTTGTTGTTGTCTCCGTGCTGTGCCTGTCGCTGTCGTCAAAGATTACAACTTTCTGGAGGAGGTGAAGCAGGCCCACGAGTCCGCGCACAGGCTCGTCGGCGGCTTCGGCGGCAACTTCGGGGGACGGGGATCCGGCGGCGCCAAGCTGCCCGGATGGCTGTTGTACCTCAGCAAGGCGGCGAAACGCCGGGGCGTCAGTCTCTGCTTCCTCCCCAGGGGCATGGCCAGGAGAGAGCAGAACCGCTCGCGCCACAATTACAGGTGCTTTGTCTTGTTGATTCAGTTTTGACTTGCCATCGGTGTGATGCATTGCTGCTGGAGACCTTCAGCAGGCTTGCTTTGCAATTGTTGAATGACATGGCATGCGGTTCCTTTCTCATTATTATCTGAAAGGATCTTGGTTCACTTCAAGTATTTGGTGCCCCTAACAGTGCTAGAGAAAAGATGAGATGGAACTTTGATGATAAGTTCATAGAGTTGTCTAGTTACCATTCAGCTTAATATGCGCTAGTTAGGCGATAACAACACAAATACTGCAGCACCTTGAAAACAAATGCTATGTTTCACTCTGTAATCCTCCTACAACTAGTAGCCCCAACATTCTTTACTAAATGAATAGTTCAAGCTGTAATGTCTCATTGTCTGTATCTAGTGCAAACTTATATTGATGTATATTCCACCCTTCTCAGCCATTCTTTCCTACAACAAAAATATATCTCAGCAACCCATGCTACTTGTATCACCCTTTCTTGCTTCCCTAGATTATGTCATACGAAAGCTGCTCTAATCTGAATCTCTCTGTGCAGGAAGGATTGCATATACTGGACACTTGAGTGGAGATTCAATTCAACTGATGTTGTCCTAACCGATCATGAGTAAGTTTATGATAATCTATCTATCAGTATTCTTCTTCTTCCTCCCAGTGTGCTTTCCTTGCAAATTGGAACTGTTCAATATGGCAATATCTCATGGCAGAACAAAGCTACCAGTTTCTGCAACAGTTGCTCTTTTTCGTTACAGTCTCATATTTATGATGTTTCTGTCATCCTCAAAGGTCCTGCTGGCACAAATGTTATTATTCTTTCTTTACTTGGTTCCACGAGAAATTGAGTATCAAAATTATTTATATATACTATCGTAGTAGTTTTCCATGTGAAATAGAAACATATGGTGACTGCAGGACCCTAGTTGCTATCTTCCCCTTTCTTTGTGCGCTGATTTTTATGCATTTTTTTCAGGATAGATGAGCACACAACCTTGCTCTCTCTATTGGAAAAACATCTTAGTCCTGGCCCTTGGAAGGATCAGCTTACACAATATCGGAATACCGAATTGCGTGATCTGAAACTCTTCATTCAAAAGTGTGCCAAGGTATTGTAAATCAAGTTTTCATGCATATGGAATGCTTATTGACTTTTGCTGTACTTTAATTTTCATCATATAATTCTTTAATTTTAATCTGTTGTAGCGATCAGAGTCACCATACCGCCTTCTCAATATAGAAGAACCATTGCGCCCACAGCTGAGGGGTATACTTGTTGTCGAGTACCCAACTATCAATGTCTTTCTTCCGTCGGACAATTATGACTTTGAAATCGAGAAAATGGTGAACAGGCTTCCTAAAGATGGAAAAAACCCTGGCAGCACAACTGACGAGTCACCTGTAGAAGGCAGCAAGTTTCATGAGGAGGAAATAGAGGAAGGCGAGTTTTCACCTGAGACGGAGATTATAGATCTCAAGGACTGTGGAACTTCGAATGCCTGTAAAATTTCTCCAGTAGATGTTACAAGTGAATCAAAGATACATAACAATGTTGATTCTTCTGTGCTCTCATACCCAGGTTGTCAAGCATTACATGGTCAGCCGAAAGAACTGAATCAATTTGGCAAGATATCACCAAATGGTACCTCTGGGCCTGCAGAAACTAAGTCCCGCATGGAAGTCTGTCCTCTGGATATGGAGAAGACAAGGAAAAGTGGGTTGTGCTCAGAGGGGCACATTTTAGATCTGAAGGGGCATGCAACTTCATATCATGGCAGCATTGCAGAGTCAGAAGGTGCAGCTTTATCTAAGATAGACATCAAGACAACAGATTCTTTAGTACCATCTTCCATCAGCATTGTAGCATCTGATGGTGTGACGGGTCCCCAGCTGGAACACAGTCAACAAAACAAACGGACGCCAAGCTCAACTCCTGAAGCGCTGAAAAGGAAATCTTGCATGAAAGTTTATCCACTGGACTTTGACGAGAGACTGTTCCCAGAGGTACCCGACTTGGCCTTTGAGCAAGAGATGATGAATACCTACCCAGAGCTGTTTGAGAATATGGATGTTGATGACTTCTTAAGCTGTGATTTTGCAATGATGAACAGGGTTGAGCCAGTAGAGGCACCGTCTGGGTCACTGTGGGACGACTTAGAGGAAGGGGAGATTCCAACATTGTGAAGGTATTCGAGCAAAAAATTCTGTGTGGTGCTTTTCCAGGACCATGATGCAACGTAATGGTAGAGCACTCACATGTACCTAGCTGCAACTCGAAACTATGCAGCCTCTGTTATTCTTTATAATTTTGTTCAGTTTCTCTGTTGTTATGTACCTGTCAGAGTAGCATAGAGTGTTGGGTGTCAAGGTAGCCTGTATCTCCTTGTTGCAGAAATTTTGGGGTTGTAACTTTGTATCCCTTGTCTGAGTAAGAGATGACGGATAACCCAGAGATGTCTGGTGATATTTATGTTGACTTTTTCTTGAGCTGCGATTTTACAATGTTGGGTTCTCGCCTCCGAGTCGTCCCACAGTAACCAGACATTGCTTCTACCCAGAGTTGTTTGGTGGGATATTTATGTTGAAGATTTCTTAAGCTGCTATTTTGCAATGATGAACGGGGATGGATCAGTAGAACCAATGTTTGGATTACTGTGTGACGACGTGAAGGAGAATTTATGCTGAGTGGGAAAAGCACAACCTGCTGCTGAGCCTGAAATTATGCAGCCTCTGTTATTCTTCTATAATTTTCAGTGCATCTGTTTTTGTGTACCGGCCAGAGCAGCGCATAGAATCAGGTGCCAAGGTAGCATGCGCTAGCTCCTTGTTGCACAGATTTTGGGGTTGTGACTTTGTATTGCTTGTTACTGAGCTGAACACTGGAATGGACAATTTGAAGTTGCATACGCAGAATACAGTGTTTTGCAGCAGAATTCATGGTCTACAAACACACTAAATTAGTTGGGAATGGAGGCTAATCTATCAGACGCTGAGCGTGATGCATGATCACTGCAAACTCTTTTTCCTGACACCTGAAAAGAACAGATAATTTAGCCAGATCTAATGATCTACATACGTATCCACAATTGTACTTTGACATTCTCGCAGGGGGGAAGCAGCAGTAATAATATTAATTAGAAGAAAAGAACAAGCAAGCCCCCTTGAAACACGATTTTTGTTTCTTCTGTTTCATGTGTTTCTTTTTCCTGTAAGAGCTGAACTGATTTCTAAACAATTTATGTAAAATTTATCTTCCTCTAAGGTAAAGGGGTCATGGCTCATGGGGAAAGAATCTGCTGAAACGCGCGGCACGCGTGAGTTGTGAGACGCCTCAGAAGAACGCCACCTCTTTTGCTGCAAAGAAAAGGGACGCGGGCACGCGACTGGGGCTTCGTCGCTACACAGAGGCAGCGCAGGCCCACTCAGCAGAGAGAGAGAGAGAGAGAGAGAGAGAGCAACATCTAGCACGCGACGCCGCGGCCTCGATCGGAGTCGGAGGCGAACACCCCCATGGCGGCGGCGGCGGCGGGCGGCGGCGCAGGAGGGAAGGTGTCCTTCAAGATCATCCTCACCTCCGACCCCAAGCTCCCTTTCAAAGTGTGAGTACCACCAGCGCTTTCTCTCGCTCCCTCGGATCTGATGCCCCGGCGATCGATCGATCGCCGTGGCTGTCTGCGCTGCTCCCCGATCTGCGATTGATCCGACCCGCTCGCTCTGGGTTCCCGCAGGTTCAGCGTGCCCGAGGCGGCGCCCTTCACCGCGGTGCTTAAGTACGCCGCGGAGGAGTTCAAGGTCCCGCCCCAGACCAGCGCCATCATCACCAACGGTACACCATCCATCCCTCGCCCCCCTTGCCCCTCGCCTCATGAGAATTCTTCACTTGGATCGTGATCTCTCTTGCTCGTACGCGATTCGAATGATCCTCGCAGAGAGGAGAGGATCTACCCGATCATGATGGCTGATAGCAATTTTAGAAGGAATCGTGTTAGCGATTTTCGTTTTAGTTGGGATGATTGCATAGTTTTCTATCAGCCTATGCCTGTGCCACTTCAAATGGCCATGGTCGTGGTATTTCCATGTGAAATTTGGTGGGGGAAATTTTAGGTTCCTACGACCATGGAAATCATTTAACTGCGCGAGTGAATTCCACCTGCAGCATGTGCCATTGATGTTGGATGCCTAGGGTTACCTTACGTGTTTAGTTAGTTCCTCACTCCAAGTAGATGGCACAGCTATTTGGGATCTTGTGGCAAGCTAAATTTTAGACAGCGACTTGTTGCTTGCAGTGAATGACATGCAAGGGACATGTTCAATACCACGTTGCTCAGGTGGAAACCTACCACTGCAGTATGTAATACAATGCTACTGGAGTGGTTTAGTGTTTTGTTTGCCATGGTGGCTTTATTATGTCCCAGGCAATGCCAGTCTGTAGTTTCACTGTTTCGATATTGTTCCATTTAGTTCCTTGTTAGCTGTGTTGTATTGGTCCTGATAATTTAGGTGCCGATGCATAACAGAAGGTAATTTGTGCCTTTCGAGCTATTGTGTCTAGACATGATTTGGTTCCTGTTTAGGTAATTATTTTAAGATTTTTAGCGCTCTGGTTTGATCACCCAAATCTTGTTTGAGTATAATTGGAAACATGGAATGGTAAAATCTTGAATTTTCCCATCTTCATGACTTCACTTCATAATGGTACGGAAATTGCATTTGGTAGCATAAAAGTTTAAGCAGTCATATATTCAAAAAGAAAAGCATGTGCTACCATTTCCATGGTTATTTGTCTATAAGAATGGTGTGGATAACTTTTGGCTTTCTATCTATGTTATTGCATGTTGGTGATCAGTGGCTGTAACATAGCACTTCTTGATGCACCTATTGCTGGTTATTACCACCAAGCTTGTGTGATGTGCGATGTTCTTTAAGTTTTTTACTTAACATCTGATGATCAGTAAATGTTCGTGGTCCTTGTCATACACAATACTCATACTTTGTCCTGTAATAATTTTGTATTCTCTCCTTTGCGCAGATGGAGTTGGCATCAACCCCCAGCAAAGTGCAGGTACCATTTCAAGATACATGCATACATTTTTGTTTCGGATCTGTGTTTTTTTTCCTGGCGTGGTGTCCTCGTGCCTTCTAGAAAGTCACCAATGCAATATTTTTCCTGACACAAATATGTTGTATAGAAGAATTTGCATCAGCGAACCATTATAATGTTCTGAATTATAGAACATCGATAGAAATATTATATAGGCCTGTTTTGGATCTGTCCTTTTTTTTGTTGCCATACAATGCACTACGAAAATTGTGCTGACACAGAAGTTGGCAGCTGAAATTATCAATAGCGGTGATTGGGAGTGTTGCCTGTAGGCTGTTGCATCAGGTTGAGTTGTATTTTGCACGGGGTAAATAGTCTTGTAAGTTTGATCTAGTGCCATCCTTATGTAATTTATAAGCACTTGAACATGCATTTGAAAATTCCCATGACTTAGCAAATAACATGGCATGGCATAGGCTTTGCACAAATGAACTGCTATGCTGTACTGTTTCTTGGATGAGTACCTCTGTTACTGGGGTGAACGTTCTCTATTTTGAGTTACTACATCGAATGTGTTTGTAGGTTTGATTTCTTTTATTTATCTGGCTGTACCTTTTCTTTTGGACTGAGGCCCCAGTTTCTGACATGAACTACTGTTTTCCCTCAGGCAACGTGTTTCTGAAACATGGTTCGGAGTTGCGTCTCATCCCCCGCGACAGGGTTGGAGCTGTGGTTGTGCCTTCCTATTAGAGGATACAATGCATAATTACCAAAACCTGAGAAAAATAAAGCTTTGATGTTAGCTCTGCTTGGTTGTAGAATGTTACAAGGATAGTAAAGTGGACCTAACCGTATGTGATGTCTCCATTGTATACCCTCTGTTTGCACTGGGTCAGTGGCGCTAGGAAGTGGTTTATGTTGAGAGGTTTCTGAAAGCGTATCGAGTATCTGAACTAACCGCCGCTATCTGTCCGCGACTCGCGGGTTCTTTACTTTTGCTGAACAAAACGATATGGCCATCGCGCCGTCAGTCAGTTCAAGTGTGAAAAGCATTTTACTACTTTGGTGAAGACCATCTATCTACATTATAAAGGTTAACAGCAGACCCGACTCGCGTCGGCCTCCGCGGCTCTGCGCCGTGCACGAGAGTCCTGCCTCCTCCCGTGCCAGTTTGTTGGATCAGAAACGGATGTCCGTCCGATTCACTGTCCATCCCAACTTTGAGTCTATTTCTGTTTGTTTCCGCTTTCGTTGGGTTGGAGAGAGGGGGTGGCGGGATCACGTACAGGACACGGGGTTTCACCGAGGGGCCCGTCCTCCGTAACAGCAGACCCGGAGCCGCAAGACCTCATTATAAATAAATAAAACAGATCTTATTTTCTTCTCTCTCTCGTTGGTTTCCTGTGCTGACTGCTGAGAGGTTCCCTATTTGTTTCGTTCGACAAGGTTTTAGCCAGCCACATCCATCCATCCCTCTGCTGCCGCCGCCAGGGGATGGGGATGGCGACCGACATGCAGAGTCTGGATCATATCAAAACAGAGGCGATTGATCTGGTCAGATTGATTTCATCATTCAATTGAGATTCACACGCTTTTCTTTCTCCATTATTTTCAAAATAATCTAGACCTCGTGGTGTCGAGATCAGACAAGTGCGTTCTTTGCTCTAATCTAGACAGCCTGATCGGCTGGGAGCCGCTGGCTGGGCTGGCTGGCCAGCCTTCTCAGCAAAATACTGTTCATGTAAACCAGCCAGCAGTACTTTTCTCTCACGTAAACGAACCAGCAACGATACGAACCAGCCAACCGAACATGCTAACATGTGCATCTACTGCTACTTTGCAGGAGAGCATTCCTATGGAAGAAGTGTTTAGCACCCTCAGATGCAGTAAGGAAGGTCTTAGCTCTGGCGAGGTCCAGCAACGCACCGCTATCTTTGGTCCCAATAAATTAGAAGAAAAAAAGGTCGGCCATATGCATTCTCATCTCTTTCCTTCCTTTTTAATTCGTTGTCTGTTCCTTTTTATTTGTTGTCTGCCAATTTTAAAATCAACACAAGTACTAATATATGTTGAAAGCACAACTAGAAGTCATCGTAGATTAATATGTTATATAAAAGGATACGGATGTCAGCACCACGGATAGGCCACGCTTGTTAAATTTGCTACTAGTGTCGCTGTTAGATGCTATGATCACTTGGATTAGGGAAGGAAAAGCAGACTATATTATCTAGACTAGAAAAGGGACGAAATAACCTAACAGGATTTTCACCGGTTGTCTAGCTTATGGCAATGTTTTATATGCGAGTACAGTTCCTTTATGGCATTTAAGACGAAGTAACTCGATCGTCTCTATTTTTTTTTGACAGAAGATCGTCTTTATAATAGCTTATTATATTTAAAATTTGATTTTAGTATATAAGATTATAAGTTCTCTAGCTATTTTTTCTAACATGAGCATATACAATGATTATAATACATTAGTACTCTTTTAATAACCTGACTGAATATATAATATGCTTAAAAAAATTTAATCTGCAATATACGCATAATTTGGTCGCAAATAAAATAACAGTGTCATATTTCCATTGTCGTGTTTGCAGGAAAGTAAGGTATTGAAGTTCTTAATGTTTATGTCGAACCCACTGTCGTGGGTGATGGAGTTTGCTGCTCTGGTAGCCATTGGGTTTACCTACGGAGACGGCAGGCCACCGGACTGGCAAGATTTCGTCGGCATTATAGTGCTCCTCGTCATCAACTCCACCATCTCATTTATCGAGGAGAACAACGCCGGGAGCGCCGCAGAGGCACTCATGGCCAACCTTGCGCCCAAGACCAAGGTGCTGCGTGACGGGCGGTGGAGCGAGGAGGACGCGGCGGTCCTTGTCCCGGGTGACATTATCAGCATCAAGCTCGGCGACATCATCCCGGCCGACGCTCGCTTGCTCGAGGGCGACGCGCTCAAGATTGACCAGTCGGCGCTCACCGGCGAGTGTCTTCCGGTCACCAAGAACCCCGGCAACAGCGTCTACTCGGGCTCCACGTGCAAGCAGGGCGAGATCGAGGCGATCGTCATCGCCACCGGTGTGCACACCTTCTTTGGGAGGGCGGCGCACCTCGTCGACAGCACCAACCAAGTCGGACACTTCCAGCAGGTGCTCAAGGCGATCGGCAACTTCTGCATAGCCACCATTGCCATCGGCATATTCGTCGAGGTCGTCATCATGTACGCGGTCCAGCACCGCCGGTACCGTCAAGGCATCGACAACATCCTCGTGCTTCTGATCGGTGGCATACCGATTGCCATGCCTACTGTGCTCTCCGTCACCATGGCAATCGGCTCTCACAAGCTGTCATTGCAGGGCGCTATCACCAAGCGCATGACCGCCATCGAGGAGATGGCCGGCATGGATGTGCTTTGCAGTGACAAGACTGGCACGCTCACCCTCAATAAGCTCAGCGTTGATCGTGGCCTTATTGAGATCTTTGCTGCGGACCTTGAAAAGGACGATGTTGTCTTGTTCGCCGCTAGGGCATCTAGGGTGGAGAACCAGGACGCAATCGACGCCGCCATGGTTGGCATGCTCGGTGACCCAAAGGAGGCTAGGGAAGGCATTGAAGAGGTGCATTTCTTCCCCTTCAACCCCGTCGACAAGCGAACTGCCCTCACATATATTGATCTCGCCGACGGCACCTGGCACCGTGTCAGCAAGGGCGCTCCCGAACAGGTACAGTGTCATGGATTACTCATCCTCGTCTATTTTTTACCCACTGAAAGTCTGATTGTATCCATGGTGTGCATGATTGTAGATGCTGGCCCTCTGCAACTGTGGAGATGATGTCAAGAACCTGGTTCACACTATGATCGACAAGTACGCCGAGCGTGGTCTTCGGTCTCTTGCAGTTGCAAGACAGGCATGTTTACTTTTAGAATTGCATTCTTTTCTTGACAGGAGGAGTATGTTTATTTTAATTGTGTCTAATATTTTATCTTGTTTTTCTACAGCAAGTTCCGGAGAAGAGTAAAGAAAGCCTCGGAGAGCCATGGGAATTTGTGGGCCTGCTCCCTCTCCTGGATCCGCCGAGGTCAGATAGTTCTGACACAATCAAGCGTGCACTCGACCTCGGTGTCAACGTGAAGATGATCACTGGTACATTCCGCATTTGATTGTCTAAATCAGCCTGTTCGCTGGTTGGTTTCAGCCAGCTCAAACCAGCCAGCCAACAGTGTTTTTCTCTCATAAAAAACCAGCACCAGCCAGTCCAAACCAGCACCAGCACCAACCAACGAACAGGCCCAATAATTCTACTTTTACGCTGCAGGCCTGAGAGGTTCATGCTGACATGCTTTGACATTGGCACCTGCAGGCGATCAGCTCGCCATTGCTAAGGAGACGGGGAGACGGCTAGGGATGGGCACAAACATGTATCCATCATCGGCTCTGCTTGGGAAAAGCAAAGATGAAGCCACTGCTTCAATTCCTGTGGAAGACTTGATCGAGAAGGCCGACGGCTTCGCCGGCGTCTTCCCAGGTTTGCATGAACACAGGATTGCACTATAGTAACAATTGGTTGGATTGCTTACTCATTCTGAAGTTGTGCACTTTGATGCAGAGCACAAGTATGAGATTGTCAAGAAGCTGCAGGAGATGAAGCACATCTGCGGAATGACAGGAGATGGCGTGAACGATGCGCCAGCTTTGAAGAAAGCGGATATCGGAATTGCTGTAGCTGGAGCTACTGATGCGGCACGGAGCGCCTCTGACATTGTGCTTACCCAAGAAGGGCTCAGCGTCATCATCAGTGCCGTGCTCACTAGCAGGGCCATCTTCCAGAGGATGAAGAATTACACTGTAAGCGAGCATTTCTTCTTGCGACGAAATTCACTAATTAATGATGCCTTACGATTGTGACCATAATTAATTCCTTCTCTTGTTTTTTTGGTTGGTTAGATATATGCGGTGTCAATCACTATCCGTATTGTGGTAAGTTTTTTACCTAGGCTTTGCAAAAATCTAGAGACATGTATGGTTTTATATTTGTTTGAAATTCTTATTTACCATGAATCGTGAATGTGCAGCTTGGGTTTCTGCTGATTGCGCTGATATGGAAATTTGATTTCTCACCATTCATGATTTTGGTCATCGCCATTCTGAATGATGGTAAGTTTGCAGTACAACTTCATTCAGAGGCATACAATACAAAACAGTTGCATATAATTCCTGTGCAATCAACACTTGTTTTTCTAAAGAAATATATACTGTATGATTTATTTTCAGGCACTATCATGACTATCGCAAAGGACATAGTAAAACCGTCGCCACACCCTGATAGCTGGAAGCTGAACGAGATCTTTGTCACCGGAATTGTTTATGGTGCCTACATGGCTGTAATGACGGTGGTGTTCTTCTGGGCTATGAGAAGCACCGACTTCTTCTCTGTAAGCATAGATATCTTCTTCTGTCTTCTCCATTACCAATCAATCCAAATTGAGCATGAAAGACAATAAGATTATTCACTGCCTCGACATGACATTTTCTTATGGAAATGCAGAACACCTTCCATGTGAGGTCTCTGCGTGGCAGCACCGATGAGATGATGTCAGCGCTGTACCTGCAAGTGAGCATCATCAGCCAGGCCCTCATCTTCGTGACGCGGTCGCACAGCTGGTGCTTCACGGAGCGCCCCGGCTTCTTGCTATGTGTAGCGTTCGTCATCGCGCAGATCGTAAGCATCCTTTCACTTCTGATCGAGCAACGAGCATGCCTACCACATCGATCGATCGATCTTGAAATCAAACTGCTTGTGGTTGCAGGTTGCCACTGTCATTGCAGTGTTCGCAAACTTTGGGTTCGCCCACATCAGAGGGATCGGATGGGGTTGGGCCGGCGTCATCTGGCTCTACAGCCTCGTCACCTTCGTCCCACTCGACCTGTTCAAGTTCGCCATCCGCTACGTGCTGAGCGGCAGGGCCTGGAACAACCTCCTGCAGAACAAGACGGCCTTCACGACGAAGAAGAACTACGGTAGGGAGGAGCGCGAGGCGCAGTGGGCGACGACGCAGCGCAGCCTGCACGGCCTCGATATCGAGGCGGGCGGCGGCGACAGGAGCGGCGGCGGCGGGAGCTTCGAGCTGCCGGAGATCGCGGAGCAGGCCAAGCGGCGAGCCGAGTTCGCGAGGCTGCGCGAGAAGAACACGCTGAGGGGCCACCTCGAGTCGGCGGCCAAGGTCAGGGGCATCGACATCAACGCCGTCAGGACGCCCTTCTACAGCATGTGACCACCGACGTGATCGATCGAGCGGCCGGCCGGGCGGCGTCGCTTCCGTACGTACTCGCTGCGTGTTTTTAGGAGCGGTACATGAAGCAAGTGTCTTCGATCTCCATAGCTAGCTAGTTTGTTTGGGGTCGGTTGGTCTGGTTTGTTCGTAGTTTGGTTGGCTCGCTGGTTGCTCAGTCAGTCAGGTTACACACGTTTGTTTCTGCCTTTATGGTCTGTTAATTACATTGCATTACACTCTTCTGAATTTTCAGAAGTGTATGTGCTTCTTTTATTTATAATATCCTAACTAATTGTGAACTAAGTCAATGTTTCGTCGTTTCGGTGGTCGTGTAATTCAAATTCCATTGTCAATTTCACTGACTACCACCATGGCTGAGATTGTAACCGTAAGGCTAGTCTCAGCGGTGAGTTTCATGGCGTTGTTTCCAAAACAACCATGTCATATACAATGAAATAAAACTCGGATGAAACACCCCCTCTCAATACAAAGTTTCAGTGTAGAGTTTCATAGTCACTTAATTCCATGACCCATAGAAAGTTGGTAATCGTACTAAGAGAGTTTCATTTCTTCTTTCTCTTCTTAAATACACCCCTCTCAAGGGAAGGAAAAGGACGTAGAAGGAACAGATCAACAACTTTGGCTACCAAGGTGCCAAAAGAATTATCTACCATATTTCTGGGAAATTTTTTGACATGAGAAAATCAGCAATATCTCGGGGCAGAGCATATTTGAGTTGAGCAGTTTCTAAGAAGGCTACAGATCAGCCCATTGTAAGCACCAACAAGCTTCAAAATGTCCCTGGACCAGAAACCTTGGATGTTGCACCAGGGAGCGTATTTGGGCCAGATAAGTTTTTTTTTTTTTTTTGGTGACCATACCCAAGGCAGGTCATGACTATCAAGCAAGCTATCTGCAATTACTTCCAACTCTAGGGCCACGATTTTCATTGTCCTTTAGACTGGAACAGTAGGCATCAACGCGAGCAAAATTATTGTGCAGGTATTCCACGAGACCATTATCCCTGTCAGAATCAAATAAAAGGTAGTCGACGATCATAGTTGGCCGGAAATTCCAGTCATGATCAATTGCACCAATCTCGTAGCACTGTCCACCAAAGCGAAGATCATGACTATCATCTACAGGATCAGCACTAGGGTGATTGATTTTGTATTTATTCGTCAGGCATGCGTGGCAGTTATCTGCATTATGCACAAGAAGGATTAGCCACATAGAGTATATATTTATGAACTTGAACAATCAGACAGACAAACAAAATAAATGCTTCAACAAGAAAAACATCTGGATCACGTTAGTAAATCATGCATTCAAGTTCAACGCCACTTTTGATTTATTGGAATCGCACGAGAAATCAAGTTTCAGACATCCTGGGGTAGTTGGCTAATCATCGGTTCAGAAATTTTATTGTGTAGCAACTGTGCCCAAAACTCCCAAAGATGACAAAAATATCAGTTGCTAGATACTCAGGTTACCAGATGTGCATCTTAAAACTCACAAGATCAAGCAAGGGGTTACTAAATTTATTGTGGCAACCAGAAGCCAAACTATTCATCAAGAGAAAGAGAAGTGACTGGTTCCGCGCTAATGAAAACGCCCTTCACATCTAAAGGAAGAAAAAGCATTTAAAAGGAACAAATGAACAACTTCTGCTACCAAGGTGACAAAAGAACGATTTAACATATTTCTGGGCAATGTTTTGGCATGAGAAAATCTGCAATATCTTGGGGCAGTGCCTATTTGAACAGATCTTAGAAGGCTACAGATCAAACAGGCGAATATGGCAACATATGCATTCCATAAGTTCATTAAAGAAAAGGTGAAGAGAGCGTGGAAATTGACAGTCACAGTACCAACATCCGGTGGTGAAGGTTCAATAAGGCAGCAAATGGAGATATCCTCTTCCTGAAAGTCGTGGCGTCCAGGACGAGGTGCTTCAGCAAAGAAAAACAGGGGACGTCCTGGTTCTGCACCAGAGCTAGAGCTATGATGATCCTCCTTTGGCTGGCCCATGAAATTGATATGGAAATAGTTGTTGAAGTCCTCATCATCCAGCAAGCTGTCACCATATATGGTGTGAAGCTCATAGTGTAGCCCACTTCTGCTGGCGAACTTGCGAAGCGCGACATCTGCAAATTGAAGCAACGAAGTGCACCATTTTATGGCACCTCTCCTCCTGCTGTAGATGTACTCGCCGACCTCTAGGCTCGGTTCTGGCGGCCGTCACCGGCATGAGGCCAGTTCATCGGGTAGGGGGTGCGGCACTAGCAGCTTGGAGAGGCGATCGACGTCGAGGCTGGAGAGGCCGCCACGCTTGCCGACCAGCAAGCGGGCGACGTCCCGCTCCACGCAGGGAAGCACCGAGGACGCGAAGAGCGCGAAGGCCGCGGGGTCGGGGTGCCGCGCCGCCTCGGCAGCCACCTGGAAGGCGGCCCTGACTACCTCCGGCTCCGCGGTGCGCAGGAGGGACGGTCTGGCGCAGCGAGCGGAGGCGGTGGCGACGCGGAGGTCGGCGCGGGAGCGGCAGAGCTGCCAGAGCGCGTCGGCGGGGGAGAAGGCGGGGCAGACGTGCAGGAGGCAGGCAAGCAGTCCGTCGAGCGAGCGGCGGGCGGCGCGGTCCGTGCCCTGGGCGCAGATGACATCCGCCTCGATCCTGTCCTCGGGGCGGAGAGGGAAGGCGGCGGCGTACCAGACGGAGTTGGCGACGATGTTGTCCGCGGGGTGGAGCGGGCCGTAGCAGTGGCCGCCGACGAGGAGGCCGCGCGCGAGGGTGACCCTGAGCTCGGCGCTGGGCAGGCGCGACATGGCGTCCAGGTAGAAGCCGCGGATCAGCCCCAGCAGCCTCCACCTCAGAGCCGGGGTGTCTTCCCGTGGCCTCCGGCGCGGCGGCGGAGGGGAGGGAGAGGCTGCTGGATGGGACGCGGATCCGCCACTGCCTCCTGGCTCCTCAGCGGCGCGGCGGCGGCCGCTGCGTCGCCTACCCATCCGATCGAATTGAATCCTTGCCTGGGATTTGCGGGTAGGGTTGTTTCAATGAAGTTGAACAAGGCGGCGTGGCGGGAAAGGATTCGGAAACGGAAAGGAACAGGCCTCCCCAAGACCCCAAACCCGTCGTCTAAGAGCCAAGATTTCATGAATGCCAACCTTCATGAATGCCAACCTTGGCCCTTGGGCATGTTGTGCTTTACGCAGTGTCATAATCCTAGTTCTTTCAATTTATCCTATTTTCATATATACATGAAACTCAAAACATTTCCATTTTGAAAGAATCCTGTCAAAAATGCCTGGAGCCTATGTGCCGCCTTTTTGAACCGTTATAAAGGTGAAATAACCAACGATCCTCCATACACTAACCTTAGTTCGTAATCTAAAAAAACGCTAACCTTAGTTGATGCTAAGCACGCAACAGATTCACTGAAAACAGGGGAAATAAGAATTGAGAGCAGACAACCAAACATAACACGAGCGGAACAAAATCCGGGGCAGCAGCAGAGTTAACATGCATAGCACTGCATCTACATCAACTATTTTAACCACCGTAGTCTGTCTGCCAGCACCTGCACCTTTGCTAATCGTTAGACAAGCCCAGGCAAATCCCCTGTGACTTGTTCTCCTCTCCCCCCAATGGAATCCTCTGCAATTCACACCTCACTGACCAAGCGATCACACTGAATACTATCCACGAGGCCCAAAGCCCTAAACATCATGAGGACCTGTATATGCCATCGCAGCCGACCCGATCGTCCAAGTACTTTGCAACATCAGTTCTGGGAAGCTCTTTCAGGTGACCTTGCCACAGCTAGAAACTACATCGCGTGACATCCACAGTGCTCTGAAAATCGGTAATATGCCAACTAAGCAACACAATATGCTCATTGCCTTGTGCAGTTGGTAAATTTGGAAGCGACGGAAGAAGGGAACTGTCTTCCGCAGTGAGACGATCTCCCTGCGACAACTACACTTGACGATGGGGATTCCGAAGGATGGTGTTGCCAAGACTGCGATTGAGCCGACGTCGTGTGGCAGGTAGGGTTGTTTCAGTGCATTAGAATGTAATAAGTATAGAATGTGATAAGTTTAGAATGTCAAGAGTCATGTAATTTCCCTATATAAACTCCTACTCAATGAATGGAAAGTGCTAAGCCACTTACTCTAATTATTCCAACATGGTATCAACCGGTTACCTTCCTTGACCTCTCCTTTTCCCCGACGTTTCCATCGCGTCGTTCATCTTCCGTACGTGCCGCGCTGTTCCTCTTCCGTGCGTCTTCCCACCGAGTCGCCCTCTTCTTCACTCTGCCATGGCCGACGACAACGCTCAGGCTGCCGCCGCCCTGGCTGCAGCGATCGTCGCTGCCATGCCTCCTCCCAATCCCGCCCCAAGTTTGGCTTCCGCGCTTGCCACGATCAACGTGAAAACTCATATTCCCTTGGCGCTCGAACTCAATCCATGTAACACCCTCGGTGTTACGCCCTAAACAAATTACCAAATCATGTCATAAGCATCATGTTTATGTGATAATACCTATAATGGAAGGTGTAGATAATATTTTTGTAACTTCAGATGATCAATAAAAATGTTAAATGAGAAACTATTACACAACTCATGTATATCAAGTAAGGTTTAAAACTAATTTTTATTGAACAAAAATACTATAGAACATATATAGGACACTTAAATAGAATTTGGAATATGAACTTTGTAGATAACAATAAAATACTTGTTGTGGAAAAATGCATATTGCTAGCCAACATTTCTAATAGGCTAAAAATGGAACTTGAAATCAAATTCAGTTCAAGTACTTAGAAAAATTTAAGTATATATAAGCAGCAAGACAGTGCAATGTTTGGCGATTTATTTTGTGAAATCGAGTTAGGAGGTGGTGTCGTGTTTTAGCTTGGGTTGGTAGCCTCATATGCCATCTTGAGCATGGTGAAGATGGTTTAGGTCCAGAAGCAACCGTTTAGTTGTTATAGATGCTTTAAAATACGTGCACGACACGTTCTCGGCCAAACTCGTCGGGTGGATGCGGTTACCTAGCTCGGGCGCTCGGCGTCGCCACGCTGGTCGCGCGTGGCCGGCCATGGCTACCTCTGGCCTAGCTGTGCGGAGCTATCGCCGCCGCCTGCCCTGCCCCGCGCCACAACGAAGCCACTACCGGCGACGTCATCTCGCCGTCGCATCCGCACCCCCCCTGCGGCTCTGCACCGCTATCCGCCTTGCCAGTGGCCCTGCCGCTGCTGCACGCGCTTGGCGTATCCGCGGCATCGGCACATGGCCATACCTGCTGTCGCCTCACCCATAAAGGCGCGACAGTCGCTCGTGCCGTGTCGGTCGCGGACGCGCGCACGCCTTGTCCGTAGCGCCTACGCGTGTGCGTCCTGATCGCGCCGCTCACGTCCCGCCAAGGCGAGGACGAGCTGAGCTCTTACCTACCCCCTCCCCTCTCTCTTTGCTGCTGCCATGGTGGATTGAGCTGCGCCATTAAAACAAGCAGGGAGAAGTCACCATCGCCCAATTCGTCGCATCATTGGCTCCGTCATCCAGCTGCCTAGCTACCCGCCCCCATCCCGCCTTGAATGGCGCCCGGTCGAGCTTCAATTTTGGAGCTTTCCCCGCCACCGTGACGATAAGGCCGAGTCCGCCCATCACCAGGGGCAGCTTCCATCTGACCACCTCGGGCCAAATTGGCTGCACCGCTAGACTCGTCTCGAACCCCTTCTTGCCATGCGAACCTAAGCAGTACCCCTACCGCTGTTCCAACGCTGCTGACGCGGTTGTGTCCGTCGTGGCTCATCGTCGAGCTCGCTGTGCGTACGTGGCCAGCCTTGCTCAGGGCGTCTCCGGCCGAACCATCGCCTCGGTCGGGTCCTTGGTGAGTCGTTGATGCTCACCCGCCACCTCTACTGCTCCCTTAGCGCCGTGGCTCACCGGAACGTTGTCGTTGCCACCGCAGGTTGCCCACCGACGTGGAGAAGTCGCCCTACTTCGTCTCTAGTCTCCGAATCGCTGCCCATTGTTGCGTGTTGGCCCGTACGTGAGCATCGGTCCTCTAGATGGGTTGAGGAAGTCCCCAGTTGGACGGCGTAGCGGTCCAGTGCCGGTCAATGCCGCGTCGGTGAGTGCGGAGGCGTCGGGGACCTCCCTGATGCGAAGACGGGTTAATACGAGGGCCTTCTTGCATAAACATTGTCTGTAGAAATAGTGCGCATAGTCATCATGCTAATAGAGGATAGCGCGGGGGTGTGTAAAAGCGCCCGCCAAGTGGCTTCTCCGTCGTGTGGGTTGGCTCGCGTGGTCATGAAGCGAACCCATCACGTCGCGTCTTGTGCGCAGCGTCGCGTGGGCCGCACGGGAGATTGGTTTTTCTTTTTTTAGGAATATGTGAATGGTTTTCTAATTTAATTTCTGAACTGATCTTTGTAATATAAATCATGTAGGTGTCCAAAAAATATGAAACAAATTTTGTTAAGTTTCTAAAATTGTGATCTATCTGTTAGTGTATTTAGTTCATATATATACATGTTGATACCAGGAGCTATTAAATCGTTTAAAAGTGCTTCATATTATTAAAATGAATTATTGTAGGAATTTTCATGGTAAATTGGTGATAGATTTAGTACTAAATTTTTATGGTAGCTTCATTATATTATTATGTGTTTACTGTAATTTTGTAGCTTTAGAATAGACTAAGCATTAGGGTAGTTAAATGCTCTTTGTTTCAAAGATACATTAAATCATTAGTAGAAATAAAGATATATCCTTCATTTGTAAAGCTAGGTGTTTGTTAGTTGAACCCAACACTTTGTTTGGTAAAGATGATAATTAGCTTAGTACCTTAGTCATTAGAGTTAGCTTAGTAGTTTAGTATGCGTATTCTTAGTTTAAGAGTTGTTGTTGCCTAAATGCTAAGTGTTGCATCATCATCATATGCATGTAGAAGACCGTCCGTTCTTTGTAGATGGTAGTCAGGTCATAGACTTATTATCCCTGAGCACATACTTACTTATAGGAGCAAGAATGCTCGTTATGCTCTTGTCGTGTGTTCCGGCTTTCTCTAGACCGACTGATTGGAGGCGAGAAAAGGTGGAGGTCTAAGCACCATATTGAGACCGGGTCTCAAGTGTAGGGGCTTGGAGTCTAAGTTTAGACGGGGACCTGGACCCTGTGATAGGAGTGGAATGGATTGGTCTTGTTTGTGCCTGGGGTACAAACGAGGCGTGTGTTTCGAGGTACCCAGTTGGGATACATTGGTTCGTGAATCGCTGTTTCCGTGATACGGTACGACTTGGCTATGGTCTAGCACCGTAGTAAGAACTGGAAGATGAAAGATGGTGAAATGGTTCTGATTGCTTAACCCATGCTTGAAAGTAGAACATGTGCTTACCTAAAATGGTTAGCTAATGAATTAATCATGACTACTAATAGAACTTGACTATAAGGATGAACTATTAGTAATGCTTTCCGCAAACAAAAAGAAAACAGCAAACCCATATTGCCTAGCATATCCTTAAGAGTCGGGAAACTATTCCCACTAGTCGGGTAAGTCTTGCGAGTACATTGTGTACTCAGAGTTTATTTTACCCATGTTGCAGGTGCAGCTTGAGGAGTTGCTCTTGTGTGGAGAATTCTTCTGGTGGGTACAGACAGATCCTTGTATCGTTTCCGCTAGATGTTTATTTTTATTCCTCTATTTAATTATCGCACTCTGAACTCTGGTATTATAATAAATAATTTTCAAGAACTCTTGTTGTATGAAATGGACTAAGTATTGTAAGCTCGTACTCATTATTGGATTCTGGAT